TGAGTGATGGTCTGTACACGTGTGAAAGAAAATTACCAGAAAACACTAAGAAGAATAATACCTAGCGTTCCAGCAGAGCTGGGAATTTGTATTCCTACCAAGAAAGAGTGGAGAGATGGTGGGATATATGGACACTAGGCAGACTCCTCAGAAGTGTGTCATCTTAGTTCTAGGGCTAAATATGTGAAATTCTGCTCTGGACACCCTCTAGCAAAAGCTAAAAGAGAGTCTTTAAAGGATCCACAGAGTCCTACATTACTCAGCTGTGCACCAGAAGAAAGTACAGTACTATTAAAATAAAATGTCACAAAATCTAAAAAACAAAACAATTTAAAACTCAAAGTGCTTGGTATCCAACAAAAAATAATCATATATACAAAGAAGAAGAAGGAAAAAAAAAGGATTTGTCTTGGAGAAAATTAGTAACTAAAAACGTCCAGAGATAACAGAGATGATGGAATTAGTACACAAAGATGTTGAAACCATATTATAAATGTGCTTAATAACATCAAAGCAAAATAAACAAAACAAATACGACAAGGAGTGAAATAGGAGACATAAAATGGAACTTCTACTGAAGAAAAATACAAGAACAGAAATGAAAAATACATTGAATAGAATTAACAGCTATTCTAAATCCTCTGATTTTCCACGTAAATTTTAGAAGCCGCTTGTCAACATTTAAAAAACATGTTCAAATTTTGATTAGGATGGAAATAACAGAAAAGTCTCTGAAGAAGAAAATATCTTTGAACTTAGAGGCTTAGCAAAGAAAGACATAGCAATAAAAACTATCCAAAATGAAAAGAAAGTGGGGTGGGGGTCAGGGAAAGAAATACACTCTCTCAGTGACCTGTAGGATAATATCAAATGGTCTAACATATGAGTAATCAAAATGACAAGAATGGAAAAAAGAAAAAAGAATGTGAAGAAAAAAAATGGCTGACAAACTTCCAAATTTGATAAAAACTCTAGGCACTAGAAGTTCAATGACTTCAGAGAACAAGAAATATAAACAAAAACATACAAAGAGTCATCAATAAAGTTGCTGAAAAATAGTGAAAAGGGGAGAAAATCTTAAGTGGTAAAAAGAGGAAAAATTACTAAAGAGGAATAAAGATAAGTACAAGAGTTATCTTGTTACTTGTTAGAAACTATGCAAGCCAGAAAACAATGGAGGGCATCTTTAAAGAAGCAAAGAAAAAAATTAACTGATGACAATATTGTTAAAGAATCAAGGTGAGGTCGAGCACAGTGGAGTACACCTGTTATCCCAGCAGCTTGGGAGGCTGAGGCAAGAATATCAAGAGTTTGAAGCTACCCTCAGAAATTGAGCAAGACCCTCAGCAGCATAGTGAGACTCTATCACAAAATAAAACATACTAAGGGCTAGGAATGTGGCTCAGTGATAAAGCACCCCTGGGTGCAATCCTCTAGTACCAAAACAAACAAACAAACAACAACTAAAAAAAAAGAAGGTGGGAAAAAGACTCCTGGAGGAAAATGAAAAGCTAAAGGAATTATCATCTGCATTATTTTAGATCTGTGATACAGGAAATGATAAAGCAGAAGGAAAATTATCCCAGATGGGAATCTGTAAATACGCACAAAAAATGAAATGAACCAGAAATGGTAAGTATGTGTATAAATATAAAAGAGGCTTATTTTAATTTTAAAAAAATTTTAAAGACGACCTTAGATAATACCTTTATTGTATTTATTTATTTTTATGTGGTGCTGAGGATTGAACCCAGCACCTTGCACATGCTAGGTGAGTGCTCTACCACTGAGCCACAACCCCAGCCTGTTTAATTTATTTTTGAAAGATAATTGACTATTTAAAGCAAAATAAATAACAAGGTAGGACTTATAAAACATGTAGTAGTAAAATGTATGACTAAGCACAAAGGACAATAAAGGAGAAATTATGGTAAGGATAATGATATGCAATAAGTAGTGTAATAGTATTTAAAGATAGACTGTAGTGTTAAAGATGTATATTTTAAGCCCAGCAACAACAGGAATAATGAAATCAAGAAATATGGTTACTAATTAAATAACAGAGAGAAATGATATTACAAAAACATACAATTAATCCTAAAATACACAGAAAAAGAGGGGGAAAGGAAAAAAGAAGAGAGGGACAAACAGAAAACAAAACCAGGATGGTAGATTTGAACAAAATTATATCAATGATTATATTAAATATAAATGGGCTAGAAACTCCAATTAAAAGGCAAATATTATCGAATTGCATTTTTTAAAAGAAAGAGTAATAGGTTGTATAGAAGGAACTGCATTATTAATGTAATAATGCAGACTGGTTAAAAGAATGGAAAAATAAATATTATAGCATAACTAAATTTTTTTAAAAAACTAGAATGGCTCCATTGATTTCAGAAAAAAATAGACTTCAAAACAAGCTATATTATCAGAGATGAAGGATATTATATAATGAGAAGGTGGTCGATTCATCAAGAAGTCATAAAGATCCTTACTATGTATCCACCTCTGTTGTGCAATGAAGACTTTGGCCTTTGTCTCTGGTTCTTGGAGTGAGACTAGAAATCCTTGGAAAAAAATTAACTGGGTATTCATATGTAAAAATTAACTTCTACCTTTAACTCTCATCCTATACAAAATTGATTTTGAATGGATAATTATCTAAATAAGTGCTTCTAAAAAGAAGGCAATTTTGCTCAAATATATTATTATATTTGATAATATCTGGAGGTATTTTATATTATCATGACAGGGATAGGGTACTACTGTCTTCTAGTGAACAGAGGTTGAAAAGTTGCTAAAATCCTAAGATGTATAGGAATTATGCATATAATAAGAAATGATTGGGCCCAAAATGTCAATAGTGCCAAAACTGAGAAATTCTAACTTAAATGAAGAACTGAACTACAAAATATATAGCAGAAAACACTGGAGAAAATTCTCATGACTTCCAGTGACCTAAAGATTTTAAATATAACACACAAAGAAGAGAAATAAAAGAAAAGATTGATAAATTGGGCATCATTAAAAAGTAAATTTGTTCTTCAAAAGACAGTTTAAGACAATGAAAAGACAATGTTTTGTAAAACATCCATCGAATAATGGATTTGTTTCCAGAATATATAAAGAGTGCTGACAACTAAGTAAAAAGAAGACAAACATCTGGATTTAAAACTGGGAAAAATACTTGAACAGACACCTCGCAAAGAACACGTAACAGCTAGAGGAAAAAAAGAGGGATAAAAAAAAGGGATTTCACAAAAATAGAAAGCAGACGAGTCAAGTAGAAGGGAATCGAGGGGAGGAAGAAGGGAAAGAAAAAGGAAAGTACTGGGAAATGAAATAAGCCAAAAACTTCTGTATGTGTACAAATATGACACAAAGAATCCCACTTTTATGTGTAATTATTACACACCAATAAAAAAAAACCCACAAAGAACATGAAATAACAAGCCCCCAAGAAGATGTTCAGCATCACTAGTCACTAGGGAAATGCAGAAGAGCACATTAGATCACTCACATCCACTAGAAAGGCTGAAATAAAAAATGCTGATGAAGATGTGGAGCACTGGGAACTCTCATTCACTTCTGATGAAAATGTAGAATGGAATACTTGCTTTGGAAAAGTAGCTCAGCGATATTTACACTATTGAACTTAATACTTGCCACAATACTCAACAGACCCACTCCTAAATATTTACCTGACAGACATGTAGATAAAGATCCAAACAAAAACTTGTGTCAAAATAATTAAAAAATGAAAATAATTCTATTGTCCATCAACAAGTGAAAGGAAAGACAAATTGTAGCATATTTGTAAAATGGAATACTATTCAGCAATAAAAACGAATTCAACGGTTTATGGATACCTGCAACAATGAGGATAATTCCCAAGGTGCTATGATAAGTAGAAGTGGACATTCATATGATTCCATGCATATAAAATCTGAAAAGTCCGGATTGTCGGGATAGAAAGCAAATTGGGGATTGCCAGGGCTAACGGTCAGGGGAGGATGTTGACTGTCAACATAGGATGGGGATGGGAAAACCTTTTGGATAATGAAAATGTTCCATAATTTGGTTGTAGTGGTGGTAACACACCGTATGCATATGTTAAAATGTCATTGTATTTATTGTACAAAAGATTTTTCTAATTTTATTGTATGTAAATGATGCCTCAAAAAACAATCCAAAAAAAAACAATTCCATCATGCTTCTTCTTAGAAGCATGATGGAATGTGTATCCATGAGCTCTGCTCTCAGGGGAGCTGAACTAGAAGGTCAAGGTGGGGCCTGGAGATCTAAAATTTAGAAAGTGTCCATTCTAAATTAAAAGACATCATAAAAAAGAGCTGTTATGAAAATAAAGAAT